AGACCTAAACTTTTGTATAAAATAAACTTAAAAAAAAAAACAAAAGGAATCCACCCGACCGGGGAAACATCAAAAGAAAAACAAAATTGTTTGTTTTTATATAATTCCGAGCATTTTCATATTTATTCACCTTTTAAACCTGCTCCGGACTTACACGAATAATTCAAGACCAAAATTAGCCAAATCGGTCTAGCCGTTCTCGAGTTTTAGCGAGACCAACGAACAGCAATTCATTTTCATATATATAGAAGATAGAAGATTACGAAAATTCTAGGTCTGATGAAAAATGTTTTTTCTCTGAAGAAGAATTAATTAATCACGAATTTATTGATCATAATGAAATTTGGATTCTTGCAATAAATTAATAGCAAGAGATTGAGAAGAGATTGAGAACTTGATTGATAATGACTACTCAGTGTGACTAGAATTACTATAAAGTATTAAGACAAGAAAGAAAAATTTTAAACCTTCTAAACTATAATATTATATAAGTAGCTTCATTATATATTACCTTACTGGTAGTAGTAGGGCTTTTTGTGAGCCCACAAGGATAGGTACCACCAACCTTAGGCAGATTGGTGCCCTGCCTATTCCTGTACTAAGCAGTAATGCGTTTCGGTTTGAAGGGCAGGGCAGCTGTTGTATTACCAATTTGAGACTGAGTACTCATGTCTCAAGGTGGGTGGCAATATTTACGTTGTTGAAGTCTATATATCCCGGTAACCACTTCACACCAGATCGGCTATTAGCTCGTCTTCCTAACTAAGCAATGCAAAAGAAAACAATCCTATTTTGAAATTGCTTTACGTAGCTACTTATTGAACGAGAAAATAAACACTACCATTATATAATAACGCATAATTTACGTACCAAAGAGGTTTCTGACCTAAAGGCTTCGTCAAACAGAACGCGTAATTAGCGCGCGTCAGGGCGCTAAGCTGACGCCGCGCTATGACGCCGAGATGTGCTGTACTACTATGGTAATATACCGTCAAACAGAGCCCCAGCGCTATAAGTACGCAGCGCTCTGTCGGGGCATTAGGACGCTTTGACGTCAGGCGTTGTAATTTTTTACAAATTTTATTTTAGCGTCCGAGTGAATGTGTATTAAAATACTAGAAAAAATTATATAAATAGTTAGAAAATACCCATGCTTATACAATGCCACATCTGAATCACTCGATTTCTTAATACTTTTAAATTTTCACACTGCTATCGAGGGCACTATGATTTGGCGAATGCGTTGCGTCAAGGAGCGTTAGACTCATCTAGTCAATTTGTGTGACATGAAAAGAGCGCGACGTTAAGTACGCGGCGCTAAGTACGCGTTCGGTTTGACGAAGGCTTTAGTGTTATAAAAGATATGCTATCATTAACATTGCACTGTAAGTTGTAATGGCGCCACGTTTCTTGAAGGTCTATCCTATCCTACTGCAGAAACAGGTCTAAATACTTTCAATCTATTTTAAGATATTCTCCGGATGTGGCCAACTATTTTTTCACACTTTTTTTATTAATCTATCGTAATAGTAAAACGTAAATAAAGATTGTTTGCTCGTGAATTATTTCTTGTGTAATAATGCCTGTCAAAGAAAAATTAAAGAGCATAAGGTTGTAAATTAGAGTAGTTAGATGACAGTAGGGCATATTGGGTTTGTGCTACTATCGCGCCTATTTCTGCTGTAAAAAGGTGATCGGGTATCAGGCTTGAAGGGTGGGAAACCTATGGGCAATCATGTGGAGTCCTTTTTTATTTTATTTTTATTGCTTAAATGGGTGGACGATCTCACGACCCACCTGGTGTTAAGTGGTTACTGGAGCCCATAGACATTTACAACGGCTGCCCCTCCTTTCAAACCGAAACGTATTACTCATCACGGCAGAGATAGGCAGGGTGGTTGGTACCTATCCGTGCGGACTCACAACACGTCTTAACACCAGTAAATCGCTTCGCGGTCGTGTGCCCATGTTATATTGCTATATTACTATAAACTTGTTTTCTTGTCGTCCGTCTATGGTATATGTCGGCGTTACGCCAGGGCTTTCACATATAAGATTTATTACAATGAAAATGCAATATAGTTCCATAAAACGTTAACATTACTTGTTTATTACAAAAAGACGTGGGCCTTAGTTTTTATACAATCAACGACTTTGTGATGGTTCTAGCAATTACAATTTCTTTTATACGAACAATACGAACCGTGAAACAATTCATAAAATGTAGCTTAGTGTTTACAATAAATATTTTAGTGATTTTTATCGACATTTTTTATTGAAGCTTCAAGCCCGTTCTGTATCGAATACTTTCCGTCCTCGTGATACATATTAAAATTCGTATTTTTTATGAACAGCCGATCCGATATTGCGTAAAACCTATATTATTCACGAATGTTGTGATTAGTCGCAAACCGATTTCGATTGGCTCGCGTGTCGAATCAACAACGCCCGACGTTTTTTTTTAGGATTGAATTTTTTCATTTGGATTGAATGATTACTGGTGACCCGGGCGCCTTTCTAGTTTCACCAGGACAGGTGGGCGACCAAAGGCCAGCCAGGAGAGGTGGGATTTGCTAACAGCGGCCCAAGCACCACCGAAGGAGACCTAACAACTCAAGAACAGCTGCTTCGCGAATGAATCTACTACCGGATCGGAATCGCGATCCGTTGAGAAGATCCAGCGAGAAACTCAGCGGGCTAATGCATGGGTTAGGAAACGCCCGATCTGTAAATATACGTCTTTAGTTGTTTCGGAACTGGGCAATTACCGGTAATAGCTTTTTTGGCACATAATTAAATTATATAAACACGATAACGGGTATTGGAATATTTTGTAATGTTAATCATGAATGGAGTATAAACCGGTATTGGAGCGTGGTCGGTATTTGTATTAAGCAAAATTACGTGGATAACACAATAAAAAAATGTACGAACTTATAATTGACACGAACGGGAATGAAATATTGAATTATTCGGTAATTGACGGTAGTATTATTTAATTGAAGACCGGGTTGTACTATCGCAGTCTAGATAGTAAGGTATTCTTTATTGCAACCGTTTTCAAATAAACTTAATCTGGGAAAGGTACGCCATGGTTATAACTAAAACTATTCCAATCTACTCAAACGATATCTCGGTCCACGGTGTGGTCACTGGAAACCACGATAAACGTCAAGCCCCCGTCAAGCTTGAAATATGAGATGGAATGCAAGTTTCTTTCACGATCAACTAGATAAATAAAAAGATTCGCCCGTGCGGACGTTCAGTATTCTTCACTTTCACGTATGCAAAGAACCGTCCTCAAAATCAGAACTAAAGTTAAAACGATGCTATTTGATCGTGTGAATGGGTAACTAGCCAATGCGCTGGTCGGATCAGATTCGCTTCATTCTCTACAGTTCAGTCCACGTTGCTATCGACAGAGCCGAGGGCAGGCAGGAGTGACATAGGATAATCCAAGAGAAAGTTGTTAGAAGAGGCCACGACCCACGATGAGCATTGAGTATTTATAAATTATCGATGCAAGAAGGAGAAGGGTAACTAGCCAAGGGCCAATTTGGTGTTGAGTGGTTAACCAGGAAAGGTAGATTGTAAACGTCCTAGAGGACGCAGTCCCACGAGATGGTCGGACCAAATACGATCTTCTCCAAACATCAACTTCCACAATGCCTTTCATGAAGCTAAGCATCGCAGCAGAGGGAGGGAAATCGTACAGGAGAAACTGATGCAGTGGGGGACTCACGACCCTCAGTAATGAGGAAAACGACGCGAGGAGGAAGAGGTTAACCAATACGACAGATGTCACGTGAGCTCGAAGACTGAATTGTGTTTTAGAACGGCTGTCTCACCGTTGAAATCGAAAAGAATGGCTTCTTCAGCACTGAGGTTTATCCATGTATACAAATAGGACCTATCACCTGTAAACCCCAGCTATCGATACCTGCTTGCCATTCTCCAGCGAATCCCTTAGTCGATTGATACGATATCTACGTTAGGAAATAAGTTGTTCTTCCCTCTTGACTGAGCTTTCGCTAGCGCATAGGTCCTGGTGAAACTGGAAAGGCCTCTGGGCCACCAGTAATACGGCAATCATAAAAAGGTTGGTACCATCCTAAGTAACGCAGCCAAATATTGTTTCAGATGTGTATTGAAGAAGTTTTAATCATCGTTTTAGCGTTGGAAAATCTTGAGTGACAATTAAAAACTTGTGTTGCATATACATATTAATAAGTAGTACATATCCAGTAAATATAAATACATATAACTTATAATAGAATAATAGCGAAACTTGTTTAGCTTTAAAAGCATCTAAGATATACATAGATTATTTAACTCCGGGAAAATTATCTCGAAGTTAATTAACCTATTCGAATTGCCGTGACCGAATTTTCAGTTGAGATTCGTCATTGTATGACGTCAATGTACGTCCGTACAGTTTAAAGAAGTAGATTTCGGATGATATACGTCTTAGCCATAAAAGAATTGTCGACTATAAAGCGAATAGAATAGGTGAAATATTCTCTAATACTCCATACGTTAATATATCCATTGAAATTTAATAGAACAGTAAATCTTAGTTTAGCAATAACATGCTTACTTTATCCTGTAAATATTCATTTTCGACTATTAAGAAAAAACCATTGTGATTCATTAACTCTGTAGAACTCTTAGAGCTCTGTATCAGACATATTATTCTACTTTGTGAGCACGGTCATTGACACATATTTATGGTCATATAACTCTTTTTTTTTTAATTAGCAAACATCTATAAAAAAATGAACAAAATTTATCTTTTAATTTGGTTTGGTTTTTCTTTTTTTATTGTAGTTTATACCACGTTTTAAACCAAAAGGGAACAGGGGTGATTGAATATCAGCGTCGATGCAACCACTATGAACAACATTAGCTGAGCCATTTCCTTTGCCTTAATAATCTAAATCTGTGTGAAAAGCAATAAATGTTTTATTATTTAATAATTTTACTTTTATTTTTTCCCGCAGGATGCTTAACATGCGTGCAAGTACTCAACATTATGGTGCTGCTCGGTTTCATGTTAAACTACGCGTTACGAGTGAACCTGACCATCGCTATTGTGGAGATGATCTATGACCAAAAAGACAACCTGACTGCCGTAGCCAACATCACGAACGGAACACATCATGTGACTGAGGTAAATCTAATTTGGAAGTATTGTCTTACGCTAATAACCGAGCGATTTACATGCAACTAGTTAATTACCTCGCTGTTTTAATAATTCTGTAGCAAACCATGAGAGTTCATGATTATGTAATTTGTACATGTCAGATGAAAAAAGCTACCAAGTGTCCATATAAATAACAACTAATTTTCCCACCTCTGAGGTCTTAACATTGAGTTAATGGATACATGGCTGTAATATCCTTGGGCCCGCGGTCTGCCCTCGACATCTGCAGACCGTCAAGTCACATATCCCGCGTGTCCTTGGGAGCGGATTTTTCGGTGAACCCCCTGAGTTTCTCGCCGGACCTTCTCAGTGGGTCGCGTTTCCGATCCGGTGGTAAATTCTGCGAAGCACTACTTTCGCTAGGGTTAGTGTTAGCAACTTTGTCAGGTTTAAGCCCCGTGAACTCAACTTGTTAGGTTACGCTGACATAGCCACTTAAGGCTATCAGCATAAGCAGGGAAAAAAACTGCGGATATCTAGTAGGAGGATCGGCACCATACCCGAAAAAAAAATGCATGGCTGTAAAGTTGGTTGCCAATCTATTAGATGTGCTGTACTGAACAGTATTGTTATTTTAATTACATAGATTTAAGTCTTGATTTTCATCCAATTAAATTCTGACGCTGTGTCCCTAAATATGATGTCTGAGAATTATTTGTTTATATTCTAAGAGTTCGACTATACTGAATGGGGAATTATAACTTCAAAGTTTCATATTTATTAATGAAATTATTTAATAGATAATAATTTATCGAAAATGGTCCTTACACTTGTCATAAAATCTATTCAGTACTGTTCGTAATACATACAATTGGCATAACCATTTGTCGTTTGGGATATTTAAAATAGAATATTTAGGATTTATGATTTCGTCAAAATTTCTTTTTATCTTTCACGTGTGATCTCACTTGGCAATTGAAAACTAGGCTACGATTTTTTTTTATTGGGGTTTAGTTATCAATTTCGCCATTTCTAATTCAATCGAACTGTGATTAAAGATAATTTTGACTTGAAACACCGGTCCTTTATGTATATTTTATAGCAATCATCTAACAATCTATTTGGTTGTTAGTGTTACAGTTATTATCGTTTTGAAACTGGCCATCGAAGAAGAAGGTTATTAAGTTTTAGAAAACGCGTCCTGTTTCGAGGAAATTCGGCTCTTCTCGCAATTTTTTTTTTTTATTTTTTTTTTTATTGCTTATATGGGTGGACGAGCTCACAACCCACCTGGTGTTAAGTGATTACTGGAGCCCATAGACATCCACAACGTACAAGACACAAGACATCCACAAGATACAAGTTCTAAGGTCTCAAGTATAGTTACAACAGCTGCCCCACCCTTCAAACCGAAACGCATCACTGCTTCACGGCAGAAATAGGCAGGGTGGTGGTACCTACCCGCGCGGACTCACAAGAGGTCCTACCACCAGTAAATAATTTGATTGTTTATTCATATTTGCAAGGTCCATCTTCAAAACAACGATCACTAGTTCCTAATGTAATTGTTATACATGCCAGTGTCAAAGCAAAATATTCCATTCAATTTTTTATCTTATTGTTCATTTTGTTTTGATACTTAACCTATGACCATAGATATCTTAAAGTCGTCGCATATCGTACGTAAGTCAATTGACTGTAACCCCTTTCATGTAAGATTTTTTTATTGCCTAGATGGGTGGATTGCCTCCTAAGTGGTTACCATACCCATAGACATCAACAGTGTTAATACCGCCACCTATATTGAGACATGAGTTCTCTTTCAGTCAAGTCTCAGTTTTACAGTACAATAACTTCCTTCAAACCGAAATGCGTAACTGCTTCACGGCAGAAATAGGCAGGGTGGTGGTACCTACCTACCCGTGCGGACTCACAAGAGGTCCTACCACAAGTAAGTGGATGATTCTAAAATCCTAAATATCGAACAATCCAATAATTAATCTTATAAATTTTATATTTTAAGTATAACCCTCATGTAAAACTTTAAAGGCTAAAATACATTTTATACCACGGAAATACTTATCTTTCATTATTTCAAGTGGTATATTTGTTATTAAAAAAGTTACTGTAGGAGATTTTCTGGCGATGTTTGGAAATGTGTAAAAGACTGAAGAATGATATAAAAGATACCAGGGCTCGATCAGGAAATTGTTTGATCAGTAATCAATCCTAACATCTAGCACCTAAAATCTAAAATTAAAAGCCGTTGTAACTTAGCATTGCAATTTTTCTAGCGCCTGTAGTCTGACAATGATGCCGCGATTCATTGGGCAGACAGATATCAATTTTCATAGCTAATTTACCTAAATTGTGTTCGCGACAATGTAATTACACTAACCCCAAAAGGCTTGCGTGATTTGGCTAATGCGTTTCTGTTGGAAGGTAGCCGTTATTTGACATCGAGCGTTCGGGCTCGGTGGTTGCATTTACGTTCTGATACTTCGAAAAGGAGATTAGAATACTAGCATGGAAGGATCGAGAACTCGCACTCATCTCTGATAAACATTCAGGAAAATTGTCTGTACCGTTATAAATATAAATATGTTATATATAAATATTCATAAAACAGGATCTTACAGTCGGCGTTGGCCTCATCCTATTCATTCCACGATATCTGCTGTTTTGACCTTCCCGATCCATTAACAGTGCTTTTAGGCACCACAAGTACCAGTCACCGTCCTCGTCGAACCCGTCGCTTGCGACGAAAGGCTCGACGAGTAAATTAACCCATAGACACAGCCCACCGAGTTTCTCGCCGGATCTTCTCAGTGGGTCGTGTTTCCGATCCGGTGGTAGATTCTGTAAAGCACGGCTTTTGCTAGGGCCAATGCTAGCATCACTTCGAGCCCCGTGAGCTCACCTACTAGTTAAGCTGCTAGTTACGCTGAAATAGCCTCTCAAGGCTATCAGATTAGGTAGGAAAAAAGGTGTTTCGAATAATTTCCAGCCTTCACGAACCATCATAGTCCATACCAAAAAAAATCACCAAGTCTACACAAACAATATTTTTTTCTGCAAAAAAACTATAGTACTTTTAATTTTGACCAGTCGAGTCATAACCGCAAGCAAACCTGATAATTGGTTTCCATGTATTTAATTTAATGTTTTCTGTGAATATTAATTAGTCATATATTACAATGTTCTTTGTTCATGTTTATCTGGTCCTGGGGGAGCTTATCCCACTATTGAATGATGCGTCATAAAAGCTCTGTTTGTTTGTTTGTTTGTCTGCACTCAGTGTTTTTCTGCGGTGGCGAGTTATGCTATGATAGATTGTAGATGTTGGAATCATCTCCATTCCTCAGAGCAACTGCAAGCAATCTTATAATCCTCTATATTTATATAATTAACTAGCTGACTCGGCAGACTTCGTAGTGCCTCAATCGATAAATAAAAGACCTAAACTTTTGTATAAAATAAACTTAAAACAAACAAAAGGAATCCGTCCGACGGGGGACACATCAAAGGAAAAACAAAATTGTTATTTTTATTTAATTCCGAGTGTTTTCATATTTATCTACCATTTAAACCTTCTCTGGACTTCCACAAATAATTCAAGACCAAAATTAGCCAAATCGGTTCAGCCGTTCTCGAGTTTTAGCGAGACTAACGAAGAGTAATTCATTTTTATATATATAGATGTCATCAAAAGTTTTTGTGTGGTCTTACAGCTTTTGTTTATATTTTTATCGCTTAAAAAATATACGATTTACACAGCTCCGCTTTCGGATGAAAGATAGTAATGACCGTTCTGGTGACATCAACCATACGTCATATCTCTTTGAAAACATTTGTCGTATTAAAAATATTGTTCCGATTATTGCTTTGACCCAGACTGTTGATTAAAATAATGATTTATATGATACCGAAGATTACAGCAATCAGTATTATTACGTAATGCTATTGGCAATTTGCCAAGGAGGCGCGGCTCTGCTGAATTGGAGTACGAAATGACAAACAGAAATGAGGCTAATCCCCTCGGCTTTATAACTTATGACTTGTATAAATAAAATTGATATTTGCTTGTGCGTTCGATGCGTTTGCGCACACTTTCTTCGGTTCAGTTGTCCCACTTTAAGAAATTTTTGAAATTCATGAAATAGGAACAGAAGCGTGCTTATCCATTGAACATGTTTTGATGTGCTGAGGTGTCGTTTTTTTTATTTATTGCTTAGATGGATGGACGAGCTCACAGCCCACCTGGTGTTAAGTGGTTACTGGAGCCCATAAACATCTATAACGTAAATGCACCATCCACCTTGAGACATAAGTTCTAAAGTCTCAGTATAGTTACTCGTTGAATTCAAATCACTGACTTGAAGTCTTTAAGACAGTCGTGGACGATGTGAAACGTGGGTTTGTCCTTTGAGACTACAATCTTATATCTCAAAGCATGTTGTGTCTAACCACCTGGTGGTAAGTAGTTACTGGAGCCCATAAACAATCTATAGCTTAAATGCGCCACCTACGTTGAGATATATTGTAAGTTCTAAGGTCTCAGTATAGTTACAACGGCTGCTCCACCCTTCAAACCGAAACGCATTACTGCTTCACGGCAGAAATAGGCAGGGTGGTGGTATCAAACCGTGCGGACTCACAAGAGTCCACCAGCATCGAGATATCTATAGGCTACGGTAAATAGTTTGCACTCGACGGCCTATAAATCAGGTTAGGTTCTAAGGGTGGATGGTAAGGAATTTAATTATATTTAAATTGTAGCTAAGGATGCCAGAATTCATACTTTGTAGACAGATTATAATAGAAGCTCGCGCTAAAGTATTCATTCCGCACAGCACCCTGGGCACGTCGAGCAGACACGGTTCTTCTGGGACACGAAGCAGAAGAACCTCGTGCTGGGCTGCTTCTTCTGGGGCTACGTCATGACAGAACTACCGGGAGGTAGACTCGCTGAAATCATTGGCGCAAGGTAAGATCTACTTTTGTTTACACGGTTTTAAAAGTTTTATTGATTGATTGGTCTTTTATGTTTTAACTGTTTTTCACAGCTTCCCTTAAACTAAATACCCTACCATCCCTCGTTATACATATCGACGCTTGAAAGGCAAACGTGACTAAGCGACAATAACTGCTTTGTACATAAACGATAGGCAATAACCATATTCGACGCGCAAAAAAATATATTTCTAGGTCTATTAAAAACATTTCAATCCTACAGCTAGATTCGTTAAAATAGAATTTTTTTCAGGTATTTCAACTTTAAATTAGTCTATTGTAAAGTTCACGTATTGTCGCTTAGTCACGTTTGCCTCTCAAGCGTCGATATGTAAAAGATCTATGAACTTCTAATCGTACTTATTAATACAATTTGATTTAACAGTTTTCTGTAACAACATTTCATTCAACATTTCTGCAACATATTGAAGTTCTTATTTAAAATTACATCAATAAATACAATTAGAAGTTCATAGAACTTTAACGACATTTAGAATAGAAATTAATTTTGTTGTGTTGAAATTAATTTCATATTTCTTCATTTGTGTTACCGCTGTTTTATTGACATTATAATATGTACATGTGTTAAAAAAAAACACATTCATAAAATCCACAGCTTATTGTATTGAAAAAAGCAGTTAATTGATATAATGGACAGCTGTACTGTTAATTCAGTTACCCCTATGTACACACAGAAACCCGGGGGCTAAAATTCAATAGCGTTCAAGATAACGTCATGGCAATAACGTGTATACAGTTTGGGTATATGAGCCATACTCGCCATTCCACTTTTAACAACGAAGCCAATTGAATGTCAATTTGCAAAAAAATGTGGCCCCATTTTGTGATTCCAAAGAGACAGGGTTTCACTGTGTCGCGACAAATTTTTGTTTTAATTAGTTTTTATTAATATAGACTGTCTCAAGCCTTGTGCTCTATGCTATAGTATCGCTTAGTTCTACGCTTAGATCGTAAATACCTCCATTTATTTACGTTAATCCACAAAACATGCCTACTTAATAAATACCTGGATGACATCATCTTATGATCAGCAAACTGTTGGAGGTATATTTAATTAACCGCGTGGAACTTTCTAGAGTTCGTTAATAGATTGGCTATTTGAGTCAATCAAGCTGATTACTCATGCTTTCAGTCCTTGCCATCCGTTTGAACTTTTGTTATTAGGCCTCGCATGGGAGTGTTTTCAATTTAAATTCGGTACAGTTAATCAGTTTTCGCGAATAAATTTAAAGCTCTGGTATGAAAATTCTAAAATTAAAGTGCCTGTTATCCGTTTCGCGATTGATCTTAATTCTAAACAGCCAGAGGTTGTAAGGTTAGACAAAGTCGTGGCAGACGTCCAACGCAAACACACTTCCATACAAATCGCAAACGTCAGACCCGAAATAACTTCAGAATAGCACACGATATACTGTAAACCTTAAACCTATTGACCACGATTGAGAACCAGAATTGCTTTCCTGAGAAGGAATAAAGATTCGTCCGTGATACTGTTATCAGTAGTATTATTTGATCATGAAGGTCGTGCTCGCGTATCCATATCATCAAATTTGTACCCTATCACCAATTTATCACCATATCAAAAATCTTCTGATACAATAAAGAGATAAGCGGGATTTTTAATAAGCTGACTGATGAAAGATAAACTTGATGAATCACTATACTCTAGTATATCATGATATACTATACGTGACTGTCTGGTAAGTTTTCGATGCGTGAGTAATCTGAGTAAGTAGTCCGATATACTCCCGGTACCCTGAGCTATCATTCATCCTTCGTCTTCTCTTCCAACGTTCGTGTAACAGTGTTACATATTCTGTGAACATTAGCAAACACTTCATGAGCCTAGTCTTCAAGCTGTTTTTACTGACGTAAATGAAAAGGTGGTCCGTGACAATCTGACTCCAATAAATTTGTTGCCAATGCCGACTTTAAGAACCAGTTTTCAAGCGAAAATGATTGGCTACTTACTAGTCAGAAATAATGTGGTATTGTCGACAGAACAATACTGATCTTGTACAAATATGTATTATTAAATCTTCAATCATATGTATTATCGATGCGGGCTTGGAATGCAAGTGTCCGTACGTTGAAGGTTCCTCACATCGTTATAATTCTATTAAACATTGTTTCCATTCTAAAACTATGAATGATCGATAGTTTTATTTTTATCTTGGAAAATATAGTTACAACTCAAGTATTTAACAGTACATTTGTTGTTTGTTTAATTTTTTGTTTTAAATTGCTCAGTTAATCTTTAATTGGTATCCTTGTGTCGATAATTTCTTGTGATCCTGGTCGATCATCATCCATGGAAGTTTCGCTGGATTTTCTCAGTGGAACGCGAAGGTCCAGTGGTAGATTCTGCGTAACACTGGTCTTAAAAGGACTAGTGTTAGCAAATTCTTTCAGGTTGAGCCCGTGAGCCTTGCCTACATGTCCGCGCTTACGAATACATAGGTACTCGTCCCATCACAGTTCTATGAAAGGAGTTACTATAAATAAATAAATAAATAGTGACAATGTACAATCCATTCAGTTTCATCCCTTAATTACAGTGTCCCTAAGGCTCAAACAGCATCTAGTACCCACGTCTTATCTTCAGTCGTTTTTATAGATCATCATCTAGATTTTTGTACAGCTAAGTAAATCGTTTTAAGTTCTTTTATACTTTAAATGTTAGCGTAGATGGACGTGAAGCTGTTGGAATACTAAAAACAATTTGAAGAAACGCGTAAATAATCAAAGTGACAAGTGTTTTAATTACCGAACCGGTTCTTAGTATCGCTTGAACGCCGCGAAATATTCATTACCAAACAATTGTTAAAATTGTAGCTTCTAATTCGAAAATTAACTTCGTTACTGTATTTACACGATATTATCAAATAGTGTAGTTTTTATGTAAATTAGTAAATTAAATGATATGAAATGAGATGATATGGGATGAAATATAATCTCAGCAAAATCATGTGGACTTTTTGGAGGATCCCGAGAAGTTGCGTCCAGCGGCTTTGTTTCATTTTCCCACATTTGTGCACTTTCACAGATATTAAACAGTTAATAAACCACCGTTACTACATATTTAAACCTCATGAAGCACTAAATAGACAAAATAAAACAAATCACACAACTTCATTCCTCGCGTTCCCGCCAAAAAGTCCAATAAAAGACATTCTCTAATTTAATCAAACTACCCTCACGGCTAAGGTTATAATCGTAGTTATTTAGGAAACGTGTCTCCAACGGTTCACCGTCTATCTAACTTTACGTGTCTGTTAAAACCTTTAAGCATCACGTGCTTACATTTAATCTTGTAAATTGATGCGATGCTGTTTATAATTTCAGAACTCCTCTTGTTAATTGCTTTAATAGGCCTATTTGATCGACGGTTTTGGACGAAAATTTTAATGTGCATATCTATAATACATTTCTGAGATGTCAGTGATTGTGGATGAAACCTGGTTGTCTAATGGCTGACTCGGCCGATTCATGGTCAAGAGTAAATGCTCTTGAAATATTGAGGAATAGTTAAACCTAAAGATATATGAAACGACAGTTTTAAATTTGGTAAATTTACTCATCTCTGTTAATACTAGATTAGTAGTTAATTGCCTGTCTGTTTGCTTGTATAAGGTCGACAGTTTGAGACTAGACGTTTCCGGTTTTCCTCAAATTCCAATGTAACGTAAAGCAAGTTCACCAATGCTCATAATACGTAGCCTGCTTAAAATTGACATTGTTAATAATATCGGTGACAGTGGTATTCTCCCCCTGCTTTTTTTTGATTATAACAAATTCTGGTCATTGATTGACTGACTGATTATTCTCTTGTCATCAGACGGGTGTTTGGCTACAGCACACTGTTGGCCAGTATCCTCACGCTATTGACTCCAGCGTCGGCCTCAGCTGGCTTCGGATGGATAGTCGCAGTCAGAGTAGTACTAGGCGTCTTGCTTGGTGCCACTTGGCCTGCCATACTACCCATGGCTTCCAAATGGATCCCGCCGATGGATAGATCGAAATTCATGTCTAACATGATGGGTAAGTCACTACGTTCTGTGGTATGTTGTAATCTAAACATAAAATACAGTACAACCTTAACATACTTCAATATAACGACGTCCTCAATTTAATAAATTCTTCATTATCCCCTTGAATTGTCCATAAAAGTTAATGTAAAAATATACCTTTACACTGCGAAGATTTCTTGCGAACAACCTCTTTATAACGAATTTTCAACCAGAAAAAAGTGTGAATACATCTAATTAACGAATTTTGTCAGACCAAAATCTTTATATAACGTTCCCACCAATATGACCATCATTCCCATAGTATGTGAATCAGTCTCGACAGATTTGAGAAAAAAATTTACCTACCTAATTGTTTTTAAATATAAAATATATACAGTAATTTTATAATCATGTGTTATCATTTATTAGTAGAAGTTGTTCGCTATAGCGAACCTGTTATAACAGGATGAGTAAGTACGTAATGTTGAGGTGAATAAAACAATTTTTTTTATCTCCTTATAACAAATGGTAAACCAACCTAACCTTAATATGACAAACCTCAGTTTACCGAATTACTTGATATAACGAATATTTATTTGTTCCCTTCCGATTTGTTATATCGAGGTAGCACTGTATAATTTTAGTATAGAAGTATTTTTTAGTAAGCATTAATGATATTGTATAGACATTAAAACAATTGAGGTCGTTACCTTGGGACGTAAGGCCAAAATCTCTAGTTACAAAGCAAAAGTCACACCTACGTATAACTTAATTGCCTGTAAGCTTGCTAGTGAACAGAAAGAAGTAAATACCAATGCTAAAAACAACGAAAATATTATGAACATTATGACTGACTGGGACATTACCTAGTAGAACATGTAGCGGAAATCTATGAACGATGCTCTTGCATCTTCGCTTGTGAACTTGGCAAATGGAAGAGTACGGATAAATCCTTTGCTATAAGGACGCCCAGAAAAAGATTCGTCAATAAATTCGACATTGGCCCTGCGCTGCGAGCTAAGCGCTTATGCGTTAAAAGGGTAGTACAAGTTTTTGCAAAGGCACAAAGCTTCGACTTGGATGCCACGTTTGCTCATTGTTCGGTTATACAGATTTAGATCCCGAAACAGATTAACAAAATTTCTAATAATGCTCCTAAAGGAAGCACCTAGAACATTTGCAGAAATATGCGCTATCATTTAACCAATTTTTGTCAGAATTGGTATAGTTGTGGCCTTTGTCATGTAATCGCTTAAGATTGAGTTTCGGGACGTTATAATGGTTTGTAAACGTCCAATTGTTGCGAAAATCGGATGCCAATCAAATAAGAATGTGCAAACCAAAACCACACTAATTAAAACCGAGAAGCCAATCCCGAAAACCGAAATTTACATAGATGAATATTACAAAAAAATGTTAGATCGCAATAACATCACTAGCTCGGACTCGCAAACAAAAAATCTGCTCATCGACGCATTACTTCACCACAAAGCAATGTCATTACATCCGCGACTAGTTACGGTCGACGCCAGAACAATTCCATTATTCAATTCAAAGCGCTCAATTAAGACAGTAGAGAACATAGCTCGCGAAATTATGATTGACGGCGCGTAACAAAATGGTTTTGTTCGTCTCCTTGACCGCAAGCAGTTTTTCATTGCGATTGTGACAGCGGAAACGAGCTATTTATCAATATTACAATGTGTCACCGACTTCAGCGCGCACGTATTCGCTGGCGACACGGCTTGTTATCGCTCCAGTGGCGTGGCGCAAACAGTGATGTCGGACGAACGTAAAAAACATTGCTATTTTTGTTCGAGCTTTTTGTTTTGTGTCAGATACTTGCTACTTTTCGTTGGGTGTGTAATTAAAGGCATTATTAACAATAAAATTAGGATACATAATGAAAACGTATGTTATACGTGCTACGAGCATTAATTAGACATTATCTGTAACATGGACGTCATTTCGGAACATCCCGGTGTATTTAGGCATTCAAAGCACCGGTCACAGTTTTCATCCCGTCGAATGCGACGAAGGGTTCGTCGTGAAATAACGCACAGACACGTTCCAATGAGTTGCTCGCCGGATACTATCGGTGGGTCACGATTCCATTTTCGTGGTAGATTCACCGAAGTACTATCCTTGCTAGGGTTAGTGTTAGCAATTTCGCCAGCCTAAGCCTAGTGTTCGTTAAATCTAGTATAATCCCCCGAGATCCGAGATTACTAGCGTGAGTAGGCAAAAACGTCACATAGTGTTATCAAAAATAAATCATCACCATTCTGATTAAGTTCCGGTTTAATCTAGGCCTCGTATATTGTTACAGATTGCGATTCTAATCATGACATTCATAAAATACGAATCGTAAAAAAAACAAATAGAATTGTCAAAGTTAAGAATCCTAAAGAGATAAATAAATAGGTCGCAAATAATAACGTTACGTCGTTCTGGCAACACAGCGTTAATGTTATCGGCCGCGGCGCAGACGTTTCGCGGTACGTTCAGTGCATTTGAAAGCGGCAACATGGCGGCGGAGGCGCGCGCAGGCGTGGTCGCTGACGTCACGCGAATCGAGCTCTCTTATTGGTCGGCTTTGCATGAGCGCGCGGTTTTAACCTTGCGCAACGGTTGCCATGCACTCGACTATGATTCCGAGAATTATTTTTGTGCGGGATCACATTCACGTGGATCCAATATGGGTTAAGGCAAAGTACACAACGAAAATATTTACGTACGTTTGTGACACACCTTCGTTCGGTTGATGCCAAAATGACGTAAAAAACGAACTTATCTATAATGCGTCAGAACTGATAAGCCCTTTCACTTTAGAAAATGACATCATAGTGTGGATTCTGGCACGACGCCCGCGCATCTTGTAGTCTATTATGTTGCGACAATACACAATATGCTTCTATCGTGTACCTACCCATGTAACAATCACAATTATTCAAGGCTATTGTGTACGTAATATTAAGTGACTGTGACGAATGATAGAATCAATAATAATACCAATACTATTGTTGCCGTATTTATGAACTTTAATTAAAAAAATTCAATCTATGAATCTATAAAGAAATTCGAGTGTTAACCGCAAATTCAAATTTCGTAAAATTGGCAATATAAAATCGACAAAATGTTTGCCATGAAAAAAAAATCAAAATATAAATAAAATACCGAGAAAACGTGAAATCGTGACCGAGTTAATCTGTGAGGAAAAAACATTAAATTATAGCTTATCATTTAATAGTGCACGGTCTGATCTCACCTTGCTTCATATAGGGGTGGCAAACCGTTGTCGAGTTTACATCTACTTCCGATAAGTTGCAGGGCTACTGCGATAGTTTACCGCTTGTCTAACGTCTTTAATGGAGATAGTGAAAATTTTTCTAAACAAAGAATTTGAATTCGTGCGCTCAACCCTACCTGACAATTTCTAACAACCTTAAATACATGTGTTTAGTTAGCAATGAAAACTTTTCTTATAAAAAACTACCTTCGTCTCGTCATTATTTCGCGATGATCGGTCGAAAACCCGTCGAATTAACCTAACAATGGCTTAATTTGATTTGGCTTTAATCTGATGTCTTTTCAAACAAATGTAAACTTAAAAACTTTTTCTTTCACGCCTTTACGGAAAATGAATATTATGAGAAATAAATTAGAAAATCTTGTTATTGTCAAATTTCGGCGAGCACTGTACTGAACAGTAATGTAGGTAATCATTTACAAAATCAACTATTTAATATGTTAGTAACTTTGTACCATCTTTCAGCATAAGTCCTCGCGAGAAATCACTTATAGATTTAGCTAAAATAAACATTTGTTTTCATAATGATTTATACTATCGCCATCCCTGCTTCAGTACAATGTCTTCCGAGAATAAATACAGATTAGGCATTTACGGTCTGACCTTGTCTTATAGTGGGTATTGTGAGTCGGAATACTAGACGCGCATTATTTCGCACACTTATTGTTTAATAGATTTGATAGCGTCACATGTATTGTTTGAGGGTATTTGTTAATAGAGTTCCATTGTTCTGATAACGTTTCAATATATTTGAGACTTTTGTCTCGATCTTACAAAGTTATAGTAAATTATTCGCGTTGACTAATAATTGTTTAAGAAGTTTATGCTTATACGTTGTTTTTAAGTTCGCCTTTTGACTAAGGTCTTTTTTTATTGAAAGATTGTTATATCGATCGAGGACAGTAGTTAATTAAATTTTGTTGGGTTCTCGCACCCAATTTCATTTTCTAAATTTGGAGCTTGCTCTTCTAATACTATTTCTGCCGTCAAGCAGTAATGCGTTTCGGTTTGAAGGGTGGGGCAGCCGTTGTAACTATACTTGAGATCTTAGAACTTATATCTCAAGATGGGTGGCGCATTTACCTTATAGATACTGGTGGTACGACCTCTTGAGAGCCCACGCGGGAAGGTACCACCACCCTGCCTATTTCTGCCGTGAAGCAGTAATGCGTTTCGGTTTGAAGGGTGGGGCAGTCGTTGTAACTATACTGAGACCTTAGAACTTATTTCTCAAGATGGGTGGCGCATTTACGTCGTAGATGTCTATGGGCTCCAGTAACCACTTAACACCAGGTGTGCTGTGAGCTCGTCCACCTATTTAAGCTATAAAAAAAACACGTGAGACGGTTTACCCATATGACCGATAAACAAGACATGGTTGCTTCGTGGCTTTACATAACGGAGGTGCATAATCCCAAAACGTCCTAAGGCCACTTCTCATGAGATACGTCATGCTTATTGCTGCAATATTTGATCACAAACTTAACCTAAATAAATAAAATCAACATAAGAACAGGCGTGCGTTGTATCAAAATGAAATAATAAATAAATCTTAGTCATTGATTGAGCACGTTATATCTTGAACGAATGTCTCTTATGAAATAGGTATTTTACGAAAGCGCCCCGATAAGTTACCGAATGCAATAAATTATCGAAACGTCACGATAAAGGAGGCGTTCTGTTTTAAATAATCGTTATATGCATTATTAACTTAATATATA